AGCTTGTGGCATGGGAGCAAAATCGACATGAATTTAGCACCGAAGAGAGAATTATGAGTACTTGGGGGAAAAGGGAAGTGTTAAGGTAAGAAAGGGAAGGTTCGCAAGAAGATTTGGCTGAGAAAGGGGGGGAGAAAGAAATGGGTGTCTTAAGTGTTCTTCCGGCAGCTTGACAGAGGTTCTGTCAAATGTGAGAACAGTCTGCCAGAAGAGGGAAAATGGGAGAAAAGGGAGAATGGAGCACGAAATTGTTGGGTTTTGCATGCAAGAGAGGAAGCTTGCTCTCTTGATGTGTGTTGTGGCTAGTGGTGAAGTATTGGGTGTTTTGGGTAATTTTCCAGCAGCCTGACAAAAGCTATGTCAGACTCTGGAATGGCTTGCCATGGGAGAAAATGGAGGCATGGAGCACGAAATTGCAGAGTTTCAGAGATGAGAGATGAAGCTTGCTCTCTAGATGTGAGTTGTGATGATGGGTAGGAGATGCCTCTTTTTATAGGCGCTGGAAGCTACCATTTTCCAAGAAACCCTAATGGCTTCTATCCAATTTGGCCAAGTCTTTCCCTTCCTTTCTCCCCTCATCCCTTCAATCATCCTAACCATTTTCCAAGAAACCCTAATGGCTTCTATCCAATTTGGCCAAGTCTTTCCCTTCCTTTCTCCTTTCATCCCTTCAATCATCCTATTTTAGTGAAATCCACTCTGTCCAATCCCACAAAATCAGGGATTTTTGGGAGCTCAAGGCCCTTTCCCGCAGCTGCCTCAGAACTCCCATTTTCAGCCATCTCCTTCCTTTCCTTTCTTCCCTTTTTTTATGGGCAGGTCTGATGAGGGAAAGAGAATGGGTATGCATGCTGGTTCAAATGGTGATCTGCGCTCCAGTATCCCTTAGTCCTTTGGAAGTTTTTACTTGAAACTTGTTCCTCCCATGTGCTGGAACTTCCTAGCAGCTCTGCATAGTGGACCTCCAGACTTCCCTTCGTGGCTTTGTTCTTCAGCCAGGTGCTGGAGCTTTGCAGCTCTTCTATTGTAATTGTATGGGCCAAGTTGGTTTATTGAGTAAGTGGGCTATCTCTATCAAGCATTGGGCTTTTTTGGTTGAGTCAATAGGCTATTTTGGTTGGGCTATTTTGGTTAGGATATTTTGGTTGGGATATTTTCTCTTTTGTGCTCACCCACATGTTTGGGCCTAAGAAATGGGCCTCAGTTCCGAGGCTCCCAAGCAACCCTGGGACTTCCATTTCTTGGCCCATCAATGGGCCTCATGTCAATTTATTACCATCCATACTACAACCCACTCAAGCAAGCCCCAGGCATCTTGTGTGGCTTGGGCCCACTTAAGCTTGTAGCGTGGTGTGTTGTTTGCTTGGTGTGGCATGTGTGCAAGCGCATATGACGAACTTTCGCGTGCCCAAATCGGGTTTCTTCTCGATAAGGTATTGCATTGGGCCGAGAATTTACTTGGGCCGAACCGTGGATTTTTTGGGCCTCAACACTCATCACTCCTCCTTTTCCTCTTTGTAGGATGTTCTTTTGCATGAATTCTATTTTTATGCATGTTGAACAATGGTGGATATTTAAATTGCTTGTTGTACAGGTGAAAAAGTTTAGAAAATGAGTATTTACAGGGGAGACTGCCGAATTTTTGGCATAAATCAAACTTGAAATTAAACTTTGGATTTCGTTATAAAGGCAATTTGGTCAAGTGTGCTCGGCACCTACCAGGTGTTGGACACGCACTGGGTTCGGCTCAAATTTCAAAGTGGAATTTGGGTAAGGTCCTGTCAACATTTCAACAATGTGACAAAGTTTCAACAAAAAAGAAAAAAAATATATAATTGACACGTGTCAAAACCACATTCATTGTAGAGAGGAGCTGCTCCTCACTCTTAAGTAGCCAAGCTTTTTCCAATTAGAAATAGCTGAACAAAAATTATTCATTTTGCAACAAGGGATTCTATTTCAAATGGTTAAGAGCTATCCAACCTGCACCTATGGTTCTGTGTTCACACTCCCTCTCCCCAGATATCAGTTGCATTAAAAAACTTAATCATTTTCAACGAAAAATAAGTTGGGAGTAATCTTGTATTCTAACCTTGAAGATCTAACCATGCATGCATGCATCATTGATCGGTGCATATTTACATATCATTTTGTACCCTTCTAATTTATGATTTGGTTATGTTTTTGAGTTAAACTTGTGCTTTTAATAAGTTTTGTGTTTATTTCAGTGTGATAAGCTTGAGAATCACTAATTGCATTTTGGAGACAAGTTAGCTCAAAACGGTGTCTGCAGATCAGTCAACTTCACGGATTGGACTGTACTTGCTCAAGAAGAACCAGATGATGAGCCATACATCATTGGAAAGATACGGAAGTCTAGTTTCTGTATAATTTTACGGTTCATGATTCCGAGTCTTCTAGAGAAAGTTATACATGTTTTGGCAACTTAAGGTCAAATTCGGCAGCATCTGCGTTACTGGGCCAAAAATCACATTTGAAGGCCTTCCCGATTTTTCCTTGAGTTGGGCTGCATATGCTTGGAAAGATAATTCAAAGAGCTTCAAGATCCATATTTTTCCAGATTTTTCAGA